CAAAGGAGGAGGCAACAATGCTTGATAAGAAATGTACTCATTACCTTGCTCATGTAATTGTAACCCCTCTGTACGGTATTTTCACAATAAAAAATAAAATTTAAAAAAAATTTAAAAAGATGCATTACATACAATAAATAAATAAATAAAATATAATACCCAAGGATAAATGCTAGTTGTTTATACCAAATTGGTATTAATATTCGTGGAGAGATGATGATAAAGAAAAAAGTGTCATATCAGTCAGTAAAGGGTACACTTTATTCAAGAGTATAAATACAAGAACCATGAATATGGAAAAATCACACTAAGGGAGAGTAATTACGCTCAACTTCAGATTTATTGCGGGCTATTTATGATCAGGGGTTTGGAGAGCACTCAGTTGATAACAGATTACTAGTACAAGGTTACTCAGGAAATATAAGAGATAAAGAAGAATTTTGGTTTAAATTATCTAATGAAATTTTTGCTGAAGATAGTCTAGTGTGATCAGACATAACCTGGGGGTGGTGGAAAATGAATATCTGATCTGATATAGAGGCTAATCAAATGTCAAAGAGGGATGCTCTTGCTAATAGCAAAGTTTTTTGCTAAGGATTTTTACAAGGAAGAGTACAGACTCTTTTACAAGGAGAAATTTCAGCTGAATGATTAAATTTTGGATAGGCAGAGAATCTTTGTCTAAATTTTGGATATAATTTGGAAGTACAACTAACAGAATTTTCATAGGATTTAGTGACTAAGTGAAAAGTGAAGGATAACTCCAAGAATTTTTGCTGAGCTAAAATCTGAGCAAGTAGAAGGAACTTCCATTATTTGACAAAGAAATTGTGGGAGATTTATATTTATGTGTGTGCAGGAACCGTTTATTTCTAAATATTCTTGAATTTCCTACTAGATATCTAAAGGGAGATGGTGAGCAAGCCATTAGGTATACCAATCTGGAGGTTACTTGTTTAGGTTAGATAACTAAAATGGAGATTGCCAATGAATGTTTTATATTTAAAGCTACACATGTAGAAGAGACTATTTACTTTGTTTCTTCTGAAAAAAAAAGATTCCAAGATTAAGCTCTGGAATTTACCTACAATGTGATTGGATTGAGGAAAAACATACAAAAGAAATTGGGACTAGCATTTGAAGTAGGAAAAAAGCCAGGCCTTTCCAGAATCCCAAGTACAGAAAGCACTTCAATAAATATTAATTGTGTCAGTTACTGTTTATGGTTCAAATGAGAATTGATAACCACTGATTTAGCAATACAGAAGAAGTACTAGTACTGGTGACTTCTGAAATAAGTTCAAGAAAATATCTAAAGGGAGGCATTTTGAACAAACAAAAGCAGTAACAGAATGCTAGCTAGAGAAGGAGTTAGTTTCAAATAAGATAGATAGTGTTCTTTGGGTGATTCTTGATGATGCAGGAGAGGACAATTTCTCTCCTATCTTTTTTTTTTTCTCTCCTATCTTTAATGAAAGATTAGATTCAGCTCACTGAATCTTCAATAGGAGCTAGGATAGCTTGTTCATAATAAGGAGGAAGGTAGATATGTGAATATAGATACACGTAGGATGTTAAGTATGGTTAATTCTGAGAGTGTAATTTGTTTCATAGGATTATCTCTATTTCTTGAGGAGTGCGTGGTAAAGGCAGCAGGACTCCTAGCTGAGAATCAGAATTGGGAAAGATGTGAGAGGTCTGTGGATAGAGAAAATGTAAAATAGCTATCTAGTAGAATGAAAAAGACAATGAATCAAGGAAATAGTGCGCTTATCCCTCTTAAGAGCTACAATTAAAGCTGACTTGACATTATAGTTATAAATTTAAGGGTGACAAATTAGAGTAGTCCTATGTTTTGCTCTAAATATAGTAAGCTGTCTAGTTCAAAAGATAGCATAAGTGGCAAGTTGAATGCCTAACCTGACATCTGACATATGATAGTCTCTCAAAAATATTTTAGACTAAATGAATGAATATATGTTATACAAAATGTGTGAATGAATGAAAAAATTAAAATTTTGCTCTAATATTATGTGATTCATAGGAGTCTTACAAGTAGCTAGGATTGTAGGCATAAGCTACTATGTAGCATAAGCTACTAATGACCAAGTTTCAGCTTACTTTCTTGTAGAATAGATAACATTTCTATTTAGCTCAAGTGGTTGCTGTAAAGGTTTAAATAAGATAATCATTTAGGTTCCTGCTTCCATCAATACACTAAATGATGAAAATATTAAATGATAAGTAGCATGATGTACATATTAATGGTTTAATACTATTTTCTCTATGACTTAGATACTTTATCTTATTTAATTAGTACAATGATACTAGTTTTACTCTTTTATTGTTTGTAACATATGACACCCGTTTTCATCCAATAGGGTGTTTTTGCTTTAGTTTCAATTGGTTAAACCACTTACTTTGGTTATAAAGAAACCACATTTCTGCCTTTTGTAGGTTGCAAGTGTAAGGGAGAGAGAGGAGATTATGAGCTGAATTCTATCTTTATGTAAATAAGTCAAAATTTTTTATTTGAAGACTTCATTCTAAATTTCCCTGTGATTCGCAAATTCATAAATGGTTTGCTGTGTAACAAGAATGTATTTTGAAAGAATAACACGTTTTCTGAGACACAAATACTTTTTTTTTAGTAGTCATCTAAGCAAGGACAAAAATATCGCCTGGTGTGGTCATCTCTATTTATTCCAGTGAATTGTAAAATGCTTTTGTAGCTCTCAAGTAACTAAGGCATTTCACATAATATGTCCAGAAACAAACATTGTACCTAAGAAGTTCTCAGATGCACATTTTTACCACAAAATTTATAAACTTAAAGTCAATGGCATTTTAGATTCTATGAAATAAAGTAATGCCCACCTATCACTTACCCTAATACAGAGTGCTTTTCCTTTAGTCTTTTCAAAATCTGTCTTTTCTTAGAAATCTGTGAGTTGACCTTTAGTCCTCAGCCTTTCTTAACACTATCATTTTTTTTACATATAAAGCACTTCTCTATTTACTCTTGTCTTATCTTGTCTAGTTCTATCACCTTTTTCTAACTATTTATTCACCTTTCCAAAAAATTATTGCAAACGTCTTTTAACTTTTGGGTTATTCCAACTCAGATTCCAGGTCTTATCTAGATTTCATATTTTAAAGGACATCAGAATATGTTACTATTTTGCTTATTTTTTTAATGATTGAAATTTATAATGTGTTGTAAAGGGTCTTAGCTAAGCAGTTCTGTAATTCATGGCCTGGCTTTGTTTTTCAGTTCTGTATTCTTCTTCCTGGTTCTTGGTTCGTGCACACTGGTATCTCAGTTTTCATGCTTTTTCTTTTTACAGTACCATGATATTACTTTTTCCTAGAGTGCTATTTCCTTCACTTTTCATCAACTTGCCTTATTTGTCCACTAGGTTGCAGCTTTCATTTCTAATCTTAAACATCAGTACTTTAAAGGTATTTATAGATCCCACATCTAAATGAGATCTTAATAAGCTCTCTCATAGTGTTTTATCTATTTCTACATGTCACTGATGATTAATTTTGTCTGTCTCCATGCTGTTGTAAGCATGTTTCACTGTCTTATTTCCATGCATGAAGGCTTAGCAAAATAAGGCAAATGGAAGGTGTTCAATAAATAACTATTAAAATACTTTTAAATAAATCAAAGTATAAATGAAAATTTAAAACATGTACAGGTATACACTAGAACAAAAATACTTTTAAAGTAAATAAGGATGTTAAGTTTGTAAAGATGCAATGTCTGAACAAAAGTTGATATGTTATTTTAAAGTAATCCTAATTTATGTTATTTAAGTATGCCTTAAGTCATTTGCACTAAGAAAAGTTGAGTGAACCATTTCCATTTTCACAGAATATCTTTTATGTAATTTTTTTTCTGGTCTTGGGGCTTGAACTCAGGGCCTGGGAACTGTCCCTGAGCCTCTTTCTGCTCAAGGCTAGCACTCTGCCACTTGATTTACAGCACCACTTCTGACTTTTTCTGAATAATTTATTGGAGATAAGAGTTTCACGGACTTTCATGCCTGGATTAGCTTTGAACTGCTATACTCAGATCTCAGTCACTTGAGGAGATAGAATTACAGGAGTGAGCCACTGGCACCGGCTATGTAACCATTTTTAACCATTCAAATTTTTGAGGGAATCCCATAACTATAAAAAGTATCATCATATACATTCCATTAATAGTATTTATTTGACTTTTGAACTAATGATTATTGGCATATCATTACTTAAAATTTTAATGTTTTTTAAAAAAATGTTTTATAATGTTTTAATGTTTGAAGAACAACCTCATGTCTTTAGTCTAGCATGAAAAGCTAATAACATGAGAAAAAGACATAATTTTTAGATTGCTTTTTTTTTTTTTGGTAGCAGTTGGATATGAACTCAGGACCTTGCACTCATTAGGCAGGCCTCTCTACCACTTGAGCCACAGCTTCAACACTTGTAGTTATTTTTCAAAGATGATCTTGTATATTTGTTCAAGTTGGCCTGGACTAGAACCCAGCTTTTTTAATGGTTGAAATGAGAGTCTTACAATTTTTTTGCTAAGGCTGGCATTGAACCCCTATCTTTCCGATTTCTACCTCTAGAGTAGCTAGAGTTGCAGGAGTTAATTTCTGTGCCTGGGGATATAGTCTTTTCCTTTTTAGCATAGTAAAGTATTTTTTGGTTTGTATTACTGTTTATTAGTAGCCTTTTTTTATTCCTTCAGACTTTTGTTGTGTAGGATTTGTCTAGAGTGTATAGTTGTATAGTCTGCATTCTATAAATTTTGTTCATTTTCAATCTTAGCTTTCTCTTGTTTATTATAAATGCTGCAGCCAGAATTTTAGAAACTAGACAGGATCACACAGTTTAAAAGGTTTATAATGTCTCTGTCCTTTTTTCCCACTGTCTCCTTTACTACATTCTTTTATCTGTCTGACTCTCACAGGAGACATGGATTACAACTGGTTGGACCATTCGTCTTGGCATAGCAGTGAGGCATCCCCAATGTCTTTGGTGAGACATGTGGAGCCTTACTATTTAATTTCCGTTTTCATTTCACTTTTCCTTTTTTTATTTACACCTTTGCATGTTTTCTTTCTTTCTTTCTTTCTTTTTTTTGTTTTTTGTTTTTTTGTTTTTTATCCCACGCCTGTAGGGGACAGTCAAAAGGGAAAAAGAAAAACTAGTGAGCAGGCAGTTTTGTCGGATTCTAACACCAGGTCTGAGAGACAAAAGAAAATGATGTACTTTGGTGGCCACTCTTTGGAAGAGGATTTGGAATGGTCTGAGCCTCAGATTAAGGACTCTGGGGTAGATACCTGTAGTAGCACAACCCTTAACGAGGAGCATAGCCATAGTGATAAGGTACTGAGATTGTGGAGCCTGCCTTTTAACCTGCTCATTTGGTCTTCGTTTGCTCTCTGTCACTCATTAAACAAAACATAGTAAAAGGACAGGGCATTTCAAGGGTTAATGTAGCATTTATAAGGTGCAGAAAAGAAAAACAAAACCAAACCAATCAACTAACCAAATCAAAATGTTTGTGTGTCTTGCTGTTTTTTTTTTTTGTTTAACAGCATACCAAAAAAGTAAATAAAAACAAAAATTAGGAACAAAGGAATTTTTGTCTATAGTCACATGGAGAACATGGTTATGTTTTTATAAACTGTAAATGATAAACAATTTTTGGATTGGCTTATTTGATTGCTTATATAAATTTTCCTTGGGATGAAATTAAATTATTTATAGTTTGAATCCCAGGCAAAAGGGGGAGTTAATTGGGTCTGTTTGCACAGAAAATGTTGTTTTTCTTTTTTCCCTTTCACTGTCATTTTGTTCTTTTATTTATTGTCATTGCATTTAATGTGGTATTAATTAGTATTAGATTCATTGTCACCTGCTTTCATATTTATTATTTTTGCTTTTAGAATAGTGAGATTTTTTAAAAATCTTTTAACCATACAGATGTGATTGATTAGAACTTGTCTTTTGCTTGCTAAATTTTGCATGAAGATAATGCATGTTACTTGTAGATAACTGTGAATCTATGATTACACAAATCATTTAGTTTGTTATTTGACTTAACATTCATTAGTGGAATGGTGTCATTATTTATAAAGGCCTTGGTTCTGCCATGAGAAATAGTGTAGTATTTTCAATGCTGTTTAACAATTGATACCTTTGACTTATTTACTACAATTTTACTAAATAGATAAAAATTCTGAAAAAAAATCAAGGAACTTTTGCAACATGAGAAATAAAGTGTGCATTCTCACATGAATAATTGTTTCTCCTGAGCAGATTCAATTAAAGTTATGTGTAACTGCACCTTTTAGAATTTTAATTTAGAAATCTATTTAGGAAAACCATGATCATGAGTTTAGATTTCATACTTAAATATTTGAGATTTAAAAATTTTGCTATAAAACAAAACTTTCCAAGTATTTGAAATAGCAGTTCTCATTTTGAGAATGTACAACTGCATAAAATTTCAATATTTCTTTTCTACCCATGAGGTTTTAATTATTCTTCAGCAGGTAGTTAAGTGCTTCCATATATTTCAAGAGAAAAATATTTTTTTAACAATTTGTAGATCCATATAATTTCTGTATGAATTTAGCATAATTGTATTAAAAACTTAAAATTATAAAATTCAGGTGATAAGAGTAATGTAGTAAGCTCTTTGATCAATATTTTGAAATGTAAACTGATTTGTGTAATCCTAACACTTTAGAATTAAAAGAATAAAAAATTAAAAGAAAATAAAAAATTAAAAGAATTAAAAGAAATTGTACGATATTTCTCAAGAAAAAAACATTATTATTATTTTTTCTTTATTGATACTATATGGCAGCATCCTGTAACTTGGCAGCCATCCAAGGACGGAGATCGCCTAATTGGTCGTATTTTATTAAATAAGCGCCTAAAAGATGGGAGTGTGCCTCGGGATTCAGGAGCAATGCTTGGCTTAAAGGTATGTAATAAAATGTATAACATTTTGGCTCTTACTACTTTATAAATTTATGAGAAAGACAAAGGATTTAGTAACTCTTGCTACCTATACCACTTCAAGGAGATTTCCATTTTGAAGAATTATTAAACTGACAATTTCAAGGTATTATTTAGGAATTAGTAATTATTCTACAATAATAGTCATACATGTAATTTGGGAAGATAGCAATAGTAATCTGATCAGAAAAACTAAACACAATGATTAAATTTACAGTTTTTTCTTTAAGTTTCTACTTTTATATTAAAATGATTGCTTTTTAAAATTACTGTGCATACTTGTGAAATGTAACATGTACATTACAGCATTTTTATTAAAATGATGTTTGAGGGAAATAATTTTTTGTTCTTCATTGTTATTTTTTTGTGGTGCTAGACATCAAGTGCACAAGGCCTTGTATGTGCTAGGAAAGTGTTCTATCACTGAGGTATATTCTTAGCCTTTAGAATACTTTTTAGATTTAGAAACCTAAAAAAAATTACCTTAGGGGATTTTAGAAATAAGTTGCAGTGTAAGATATCTTGAATAGATAGTAGAAAATATTGTATATCAGTGGAATTTAGTGACTAACATTTATCGATGCCTACTATGTATTTGATATTCATGTGAGTATTTTATATTGGTCATCTTATTTAATACTCAACGCAGAAGAGAAACCAGCTTACAGAGGTCATTTGTTTATGTCACAAGAAGATGGATTTAAATCCAGTTCTGCCCAGTGTAGTATTAGAGAGATGTGATGCAGAAGTTAGGAAATTTTGCCTTGATTTTCAATTATTGTAGTTACCAGCTACATAACTCTTTTTTTTTTTTTTTTGGGTCCGGTTATGGGGCCTGAACTCTGGGCCTGGGCGCTGTCCCTCAGCTCTTCAGCTCAAGGCTAGCGCTCTACCACTTGAGCCACAGCGCCACTTCTG